GTGCTGCTGTCGCTGGTGGACGGCGGCCAGGCGCCCAAGGCCTCTGTGTCGGCGTCTGCGGGCGCCGCGGGCTCGGAGGCGGCGCTGGTGGACGTGAACGTGTACCTGATCGTCGCCATCTGCGCGGTGTCCAGCCTGCTGGTGCTCACGCTGCTGCTGTACACGGCCGTGCGGTGCTCGGCGGCGCCGAGCGGGGGCGCGTGCGGGCCGGGGCAGCCCAGGCTGGTGTGCCCGGGCGCGGGGGGCAGCTGGTCGGCCTCGCAGCAGAGGCGGCCGCGGGTGTGCTCTGGGGAGGGCGCGCCCAAGACGGACCTCATGGCCTTCAGCCCCAGCCTACCTCAGGGTCCAGGCTCCGCAGAAGAAAGACAACAACTCTCAGAATCAGAACACTTAGGAAAGGTGAGTCTTTTAATTTTGTCCTGTCAGTCCTATTTTCTTTATTCTTTATGATTGTATTAATTATTTCATTTCAAAGCTCTGCCTTTATTTTATATCATTATCCTCTTGTGCGACACATGGAATGGGATACATATATATATATATATATATATATATATATATATATTGCAATGAGAACAATTTACTTAAATGGTTCGTTATTTTTACATTTTTGCTTTTCCATGATTAAACCTCTCCATGAATAATAAGACCTTTAAGGATTAAAAAACACTTCCGCAAAATTCGAAAACTCAGTATTACCTGTAAATATTTGTTGTCAAATTTAAAATCACAATTGGAAAATATTTATAGAGTATGATTTTATAATACATATTTCCAATAATATACCATCCATTCATTCTGTCAGAATGTGTTGGAATAAGACTATATTATATATCTGGGCAGGTCCTAAATTATCCTTTCGATGAAGAATTAATTTGTCTTTACTTGTTTATATAATAATTCATAAATTAATTTTTCTTTCCCTCATGTTTGAAAGCAGCCTTAGTGGATCTTTTAATGCCAGCCTTCCAAAATTATCTATCATAATATTACCACACATACATCACTTTGTTATGGCTATTAGTAGTAAGATAAACTTATTTGGGATGGAGATTTCACACTTGCAAAATCCTGGGAGTTTTAAGGCACAATAGAGAGTTTGTTGAGAAAAGAGGTCCCTCTCTATACTGTTTAATTAAATAATATTAACATTTAAAAAATCATGTAATGGGGTGGCCAGGTGGTGGGACTTTTTCTTCATACAAGTGGCGAGTACTCTAATCCAGTCTTTATGTTAGCTGGTTGCTCAGTCATTTTTCCAGGATCAGTACCACTGGGCTAATAATGTAAGTAGGCCTCCCACTGTGCAGACATTGGTCATGTTTTTCTGGCACCACCTTATGCCTCGTATAAAGTTTTCTGTGACTATGAGCTCACTCAGTTTCACCTGGCAACATCCGTATGGTTAATGAAGTTGGAGGTTTTTTGAAAGGTAAGGACTGGTGTTAGATTACTATATTTTTGTTGGAAACTCCTGTGTTGGGTAATTAGAACACTAAACTTGACAAGTAAATGTTACACTTGTAAATACAATTTAAAAATTTTTTTCAACTAAAGGAAGCTGTCTTGTGGTTAAATAACATATGAAACTGTCTTCTACTACTTGGTGCTTAGTTATTTGCTGTTTCCCCCCAAAATGTATGTGGATATTGATAAATCATAGAAATAATTTCTACTAAATGATCTTACCCATAGCCACTTCACAGATAGGCCAGAATATCAACTTCCCTCCAGGGTCGTCTTTTACAGGAATTGAGGAGTCTGGTGGGGAGATTTTGAATTCCATTTAAGGATAGTCTGTTCCTAGGGGAAACTTATTAGTTCCTCAGAATTGATGTCTTGAAATTTAGAGTATATATTTTCTAGGAGTCATAAAAGTTAATCTGAGGCTCTGTATATTTACAGAGTAAAACAAATAGCTTGAATAAATGAGGAAGAAGCTTTGTCTTGGGAGGAACTATCCCACTTAGAATATCATAGCTGCTCACCACCTTGAGATTTGTGTGTAGAATGTATGAATAGTCAGGTGGAATCCTTCCTATTGGAGGTCTGGCCACTGCATTTCTACTATAGGTAAAAGGTAAGCTTTTAAAACTATATCCAGTGTGCCCAGATCTCCAGGAGTTACAACTTATTGCTATGTAAGTTCTTAATATTTCTTTTTCCTTATTTACATTTTCCTTAAGTTGCCTCAGTACACTCTTAAATGTCATGAAATGTATGGTATTAAAATAAGTTGTCAATTAATAGTATAGCAATTAATAAGATGATTTAAAATTTTAAATTTGTCTCTGATTTTATTTTAAATATGTTTTTATTGATTTTAGAGAGAGAGGAAGGGAGAGGGAGAGCTGTCATGGATTGGCTGCCTCTGGCATGTTCCCTGACCAGGAATCAATGGGGGATCTTCTGGTGCATGAGTCAAAGCTCAACCAAGTGAGCCACATGGGCCAGGGCTAAGTTTGTCTCTCATTTTAAAACTCACTACCTTTCAAGATTCATCAAAGAACTAGCATATTGATCTCTATAATTATTTCCTAGATCCATGCTTTTCCAAAATAATTCTTAAATGTTTACTTACTTTTTTCATGAACTTGTACAATAGTCAGTTAGAAATTATGTAAATTTGATATTAAAAATATTATTTATGTAACTTACCTGTTATATTACTTGAGAAAGTTTATTTAAAATATTTATTTATTAATTAAAATATTAATTGATAATTCATTCTGCTCTAAATATAAATAATAAAATATCAGTAAGGTGCAATCCTGGCTAGCATTCAGCGAGTCACAAGAAAGAACTGGTATAAAAATTTTTCTCCTAGTAGTAGAATCATATGTTTTATTTCATTTAAAAAGGGGTCTGACTATAAGCAAAAATTTGGACATTCCCTTACCTCTCTAAATTCAGTCTCTTCCCATGGACTTTCTTTGCTCAATTTCCAAATGCTCAGATAACTGAAAACTGAATTCACAGATCTCTTTAGACTATTTTATTGTCTCATCTTACATATACTGAATCATGTGCTAAAACTTTTCTCTTTTTACTGATTGGTTAAATCACCAATTCTCCCAAGAATGTTTTAAGAAACTGTACTCCAGAAATTTATCCAGAGTGGAGATGATTAAATACACAATTATTTCATGTATTGAACATTTAAAGATATATAGGTAAATTCAAACATATAGATGATATGGAAATGTTAAAAACTAATATAGTCCTAGTTGGTGTGATATGAATGTGACAAATATCCAAATCGAAGTGTTGTCATGCAGCAAAAGCACATTTACAAAAGAACTGCACTGTGAAAGAACTGACTTCTGGCGTATTTATGTCTTTGTATAAATAACAGTTAAGACCTCTAACAAGGATATAATTATTGGATAAAGGACACAAGAGTGACTTATAGACATTCTACAAATAAATAAATAATAATGTGAACATATTTGATGAGTTAACAATTGACCAAATAATATAGAAGTAAATATGTATGTATATATGGATATGTATACACACATATTTTCAGTGTCTTGGTGTTTTGATGGTCACAAATATCAAAGGCCTGATTTTTCTATAAAATGTAGACTTAGAGGCCAAGTGGTTAAAGTTATGGCTCTTCAGTCAGATTTAGATCCCACCCAAACACCACCAGTCAATATCATTTTTAAGTTATTTAACTTGCATATGCTTCCACTTCCTTGTTTGTAAAATGTGAAGCATATTAATAAGTATCTCAGAGGGTTGTTCTGAAAATTTAATGAGATAATCCCGTTAAAACAAATAGAACAGTGCTTGTCAAATGGGAACTGTTTCCAATAGATGTCCACTGCTGTTACAGCAGTAATCACTTTTATTATATTTTACTCTATGTAATGGATTGGCAGAATTAAAAGTAATGAATTAGTATAAAAAATTCTAAGGATATATTCTGATAAAATATAAAAACTTTGAGGAGTGCTTGAAGGAAATCACAATGAAAATAGTAATTTGGGAAAGTTCAAACCAAGTATAAGGAAAAGACGATGCATTTTATTTAATATAATACACATTTAGCCACATGATGTCGCTGTGCACCACAAGGTCTCTCGCCACAAAGGATATTACGTACGCAGATGCCGCTTTCCCTCACCATTTCTGAAGTACCGGCATGGGAAGGTTTTTTAAGAAATGAAGAATAAGGAACTCAAATTATTTTTAAATTTTGGATCGATGCAAGAGAGACCAAATATTTGGAAAAGGGCTGCAATGGTGTTTTCCTGGAGAAAAGGTCTAGGAGCCTGGCGCCTGCTGCTCTCGCTTCTGCTCCTCGCAGCCTGGGAAACGGGGAGCGGCCAGGTCCGCTACTCGGTCCCCGAGGAGGCCAAGCACGGCGCCTTCGTGGGCCGCATCGCGCAGGACCTGGGGCTGGAGCTGGCGGAGCTGGTGCCGCGCCTGTTCCGCGTGGCGCCCAAGGGCCGCGGGGACCTTCTGGAGGTGAATCTGCAGAATGGCATTTTGTTCGTGAATTCTCGGATCGACCGCGAGGAGCTGTGCGGGCGCAGCGCGGAGTGCAGCATCCACCTGGAGGTGATCGTGGAGAGGCCGCTGCGGGTTTTCCACGTGGAGGTGGAGGTGACGGACATTAACGACAACCCGCCGGTGTTCCCAGTGGCTGTAAAACAATTGTTTGTTTACGAATCCCGGCCACCTGGTTCTCGGATCCCGCTAGAGGGCGCATCAGATTCAGATATAGGAGCGAATTCGCTGTTGACCTACATTCTTAATTCCAGTGAATATTTTACCTTGGATGTTAAAAGAAATGATAAGGAAATAAAATCCATTGGACTGGTGTTGAGAAAACTGTTAAATCGGGAAGACACTCCTGAGCACCATTTATTAATAATGGCAGTTGATGGTGGGAAACCTGAGCTCACTGGCACTACTCAGCTGACAATCACCATTCTAGATGTCAACGACAACGCCCCACAGTTTGAGCAGCCGGTCTACAAAGTTAGATTATTCGAAAATACAGCAAATGGTACCCTCGCAGTGATTGTGAACGCCTCTGATTTGGATGAAGGGGTAAATAAGGACATTGTGTATTCTTTCAGTACAGACACGTCAGCAGATACTCTGTCGAAATTCCACTTAGACCCTGTAAATGGATACATCAGTGTAAAGGGCAACTTAGATTTTGAGGAAACTAAGTTATACGAAATCCAGGTAGAAGCGACAGATAAAGGAAATCCCCCAATGGTAGATCACTGCACTGTTCTAGTGGAAATTTTGGACAAAAATGATAATGTACCTGAGTTGGTTATCAAATCACTATCGTTACCTGTATTAGAAGATGTTCCACTGGGAACGATCATCGCCCTGATTAGCGTATCCGACCGCGATTCCGGTGTCAACGGACAGGTGACCTGCACCCTGTCACCCCAAGTTCCCTTCAAGCTGGTGTCCACCTTCAAGAATTACTATTCGCTGGTGCTGGACAGCGCCTTGGACCGCGAGAGCGTGGCGAACTATGAGCTGGTGGTGACAGCGAGGGACGAGGGCTCTCCATCTCTGTCGGCCACAGCCAGCGTGTCCGTGGAGGTGGCCGACGTGAACGACAACGCGCCGGAGTTC